TATTAGAAGCTAAATGAACGACACATTAAGATCTTTAAGCAGTACAAACCGTTTGAACATTTAATGTACTCAGTAATTAATGTACCGAAAGGTATATAGTGATACCATTATAGTGATACCATTACTTCAGACTATATGTATAATAATAATGTTCACGATGTTATTCATTAAAAGTATGGTAATTATGATTTTTATGATATCACCTTTTATAGTAATTATTAGCCCAGAGGGGAGGTAGCGTAGAAGGGCTATCAGTTTCAAAACGGCATTTTGTGGCGTTTCACAATGTATGCAAATCTCTTTTTAAATTGTTGCCACCAACTATTATCGCCCTGTATTATATGTAAAGAAATTAAGTAATGAAGAATCTGCATGAATTTATGAATGTGTTCTCGCATTATGCCTAGAGCATTGTGACGGTATCTAGAGCCATCATATTTTGAATAACGTAATCCTCACCCGAACATGGGTACTTAGAAGCCCGAATTTTGAATTCCGAATTTGCTTTATTATCTATTTCATATTTTGTAAAGCTTTAACAAATTTTTGTTAACAAACTCAATAATTCCACACTGTACGGAAAAAAGCATTTTTATGTCCAGAGCGAGAGACTGTCTATCGGAAGTTTTAAAGATATGGTGTTTTAAAATAATTTATGATATTGCTCTTGAATTGAATTTTATGTGGTGTAAATGAGAGAACATGATATTTAATATATTAAGGTAACACAAGAAACGTTAAAATATACCTCTTTGTGCATAATATAAAATCTGAAAGCTTTCAGATTTATTTTTTCCATTTTAGTTAATAATTATTGTATTATTTTATAATTATTCATGTGTCACAAAATTCCTATAAGACTTTAATAATCAGGAATTTATGAACTAAATTACATTTCGTTGAAGTTCAGTAATTTTATTAGTTAAATGAACTTATTACGTAATAAGTTCACGTTACTTAAGAAGTTCAATAAACTCATTACTTTTGTTTTTCAATTAAATTATTTATTTTCAAAGTAATGATTTACCAAACAATATTTACTGCTGGTAGGTTTTAATAAATAAAGTAGACATTACAATTGGATTGATATCTTTAAGGAGGACATCAGAAACATTGTTGTGGCATACTTAAGCATAGGTAAAGCCAGAAAAACTATTGCGACACTAACTAGATCCACAGAAATGAATAATGAGTTAATAACTAGTGTAGTTCAACAGATTGTCTGCTCAAATGCTTAAGATAATTATATGGCTGCATACGTTATCAGATAAAACTTTAGTAAGGGCAAATTTTAGATAATTACTATATTTGGCGGTGTATAAGACGCACTTTTTTCCTTTGAAAATGGGTCTGAAAAACGGGGTGCATCTTATACCACGATATTTATACGTCGATACTTATTGCGCCGATACGTCGTTTGTGAATAGGTCAAAGCTGCATGGGATGCTATGAAAACAAAGACAGTAGTTAAATCATTAAGGAAATGTGGCATTAGTAATGCACTGGATAGTACAGCAGCAAATTTGTTGTATGAGGACTCAGATGCTGATTTACAAGAGGTTTCAAGTGACTCTTCATTTAGCTCTGGAGATCAGTGTCTGGGTTTGAATGAAGAAGATTAAAAGGTGTTCTTTCCCAAACAAATTGGATATTTGCAGAAAGTATTGCTTTATATTTAAAATACTATAAATTCATTATAATGATCAGTAATAAAAGTTTTATCCTTCAAAATTGTGCATAAAAAAGGGGTTGCGTCTTATAGGCCGATGCTTCTTATACGCCGACAAATACAGTAATATTTTATCTACAGAAAAACCACTAATAATGCTCATTCAAAAATAAGTGATAAAATAGGTATTTCATTTGGTTTTCTTTCATTCATTTCTTGTGACTTCGTTATTTTTCCATAAATAATTAACGTCTGCAAAATATCTAAAACTGCAATTACTTCTTTTTATATTGTTTTTGTTAAACGTTAACTCAATTCAACAGAATTATTTTTGAGAGTCATATTTCGAGCTTCATTTCTTTTTTAACGTGTCTGAAGTTGTTCTGAATTTTGCGAAGTTAACTCTCTTGGATATTAACCTATGTTAAACTCTATGTACGCTAAGCCTAAAGTACCACAAAAACTTGACAATGGTGTAAAAGCCCTGTATTTAAAACTAAATAAGGTGAACAGAAGGCACTCTTGACGCTTACAACTCCATCAGCGTATATGGTGAGAAACTCAAAGTAGTAAATCAAATATTAAAGCTTAAATCTAAATAAATTAACAACCAAAGGATACACAGCGCAATTTCCTACGAAGTTGGTTCAGAACTCTATTGCCGTAGATTTCAACTACCGAAAATTATAATGCAAAGCGGAATACAGGAAATTTTACTTAGAAAAGCAAATCTAATAACGTTGCCACGAATGGCAGAAGAGGCTCTATTTTAACAATCTCAAAGCCTTACTTAAATACTCGCGAACTAATTTGCATTCTGGCTCGAAGGCCGGAAAAGCGAAGTGACAGTATAGATTCAAAATATACATTAACTGGTTATTCAAATTGAAATTAACTTCGCAAAAAACTGCACTTCAAACTAAAATTATGGGTTGGTATTTTAGGTAGGAATTTTGTTAATTTCCTTGAAAATTAACATAATATGAATCTTTTATATATGAATTGGAGGGAGATGATGTACACTCTGCACAAAAAATGAGAAAATAGAGGACAGTTCCGTACCTCCGTTTCTACTGAGACGATTGACGAAATTTAACTTGCGTTTTTTACGACTCGAAAGCGTGACGTGGGCTATATAATAGATCCATATTAGCAACGTCCTAACTTAAATATTTTGACACAAAATCAGACGTTTCTGAAATGACATATCTATCTTTTTATGTACTCCGGTTCTACAACTCAAATCATTGCAATTATGCCTAAATATTAGATTGCAAATCATGCCTAAATATTAAATGTGAAATCTGGTGACAAATTTAGCGAGATATTCAAAAATTTATCTTGGCGCACTTTTTTCAATTTCTACCCAGAAAAATTTATTTGGTGAAATTCTTAATTAATGGTAACCTAGTTTACTTTCTCTTTCATTGTGCTCGAGGGGAAGAAAAGGTGTACCGTTCATTATTTTAAATAATGTTAACAAAGTGCGTAAACCACATTTGGCTTTATTATTGCTTAAAACATGTGAAATTTCAAAACACGCCAATATGTAAGTTCACGTATAGCTTACAAAATTTTGAATAAAAAGCTCTAAAAAAATTCATAAAGCGGTAATTTCATATTTGTAGTGACATTTTCATGAGGCGGCTGGAAAAAAAATCGTAAGAAAAAGAAAGGTAAAAGAATCATAATCTGCTTCTGAGCTAAGTAATGTATATAATTTACTAAAATAAAAAATTTCAATGTAAAACGTAATTTTTTTTATATTGATTAAATTGTGCATTAGTTGCACAAAAAATTAATGGGAGTAAAAAAGACATTACTTGCTTAAATGTATTATTATTATTATTATTATATGCTAAATCGATATATATATATAGCACTTGCTGAAGTACCCGTTCCTGTCCGGCCTTTAAGCATAGCGAAAACGCTTCATTTACGCTCATTGGAGGCATTTTTTTCAAAACCTCATGTAGACAGTGATTTCCTCTTATTTTAGTTCAAGGTTATAACAAACCTTGAACAGTTACTGATTTAGTTTGTACAAAATGTTACTAAGCTCGAGTAAAACTCAGATCAGTGCAAAACTAACATGGCGCCATAAAGGTATTAGTAAGTACTGTTATGTACTTTCAGAAAGCAGTTATCGGAAATTCATCATCAACCCTGGCTACTTTCTTCACCGTTTTTCAAATATGCGCAAAAACGTCGAAAACACATTTAATTTCTGCTCTAAGCATTCCATACGGTTTTAAAATATTCTACGCTGTTATAAAAAGTAAACGAATACTGAGTCATCTAACGATTTTGGTAAGAACTGACAGAGAGAACGCAACAACGGCGAGCAATTTCAAAACAGAAACTGTTTCGAAACATTAATATTTATTTATTAATCTGTGGTAACTAAACATTATAAGTTCCTTACTTAGTATGTGTGACTTCCACTGAAAGCAGGAAAGCAGCAACGGCATTCCCAAGGTGAATGTGCTGAGAGAAAAAAGGGTGTCGTGGGTGCAAAGTTATAATATAAACGCCCTGAATCTGGATCCTTCGAAATCATGGAGATATGGACCTTCCTTTTGTTTTGCAGATCAAATGTGCAAAATTTCATCAAAATCAGAATAAAACTGTAGATTTGTCTGCATTGCACACGAGCAAGTAAATGGGCATTCTTTCTTTATATAATAGGAGAATGAAAAAATGAACAAATATGTTGCCAACAAGGCTATCACTAGTTTTCTGTAATACGTATTGGTTAGTTTTCAATTCGAAAAATGAAATTTAAATTTGTAAATACAGTTTTATAATAAAACATATTTAACAGTAAAAATAAAATTTCTTACCTCATTTTAGTATTCCGATTTAATGACTTCATTTTTTAGTCTCTAGTTTATTCAATGTTTATATCCTAGAAAATGTTTTTTATTTGTTTTTTCATGACTCACGCTTTCCTACATTATAAATATTTAGTAATAAAAAGTAATATATTAAAATAAAAAGTGGTTCTTTCTTTTCAATAACCCGTTTGTTATAGTTGTGTAAAATGTCGGAATTGATGCATATTTCGTTTTAAAATTTCCAACAAAAAAGTACATCCTTGCATTAAAATTTAAAACGAAAAAAATATACCATATGAATTTTATAACTGCAAAATAATTGACCGGATGTTGCATTTTTTTTCAGTATTGAAGGCAACATTAAGTGCCCTACAAATATTTCAAAACCCTAATAATGTGAAAGTAATAACCTTTTGTCCAGCTTAAAATTAATACAAGAAGCAGCAATAAAACAGTACAACTCTTACATTGTTTTAAGATGTGTTTCCATTTTAGTTATATTTAATTTTTGAAACAGTTCAAAAGGCATCAAAATTGTGTGAGTAATTTTGATTTTACAATATTTTCATAAAAATACACTGTGAAAAATATCTAAAATTGTAAATTACTTCTTTTTTTAGAGTACTTAAATGTGCATTTTAAAATATTTATGAATAACGTTTAAATGTTTCGAAAAATGTGATTTATTAAAAACAAAATATCAGATTTTACAAAAAGTCATATCTTTATTTTAAATAAAAGATTTAGAGTGCTGTATATATGTATATATTTCCGTAAACATTGCAAATTAAGATAACAGTATATCTTTTTCCTACATTAAATTATGATATAAATACGTATAGAGCTAGGTGTAATATTTTAAGCTTACAAAGAATTTAAAATTACTAATGTTTATTTAACTGTTAACAGGATTAAGAGTACATTTTCATAATTTGGCTATGTAATAATCTCGTCCGCCTAAAACAGATATAGGTTTGAGTTAAAAATTACAAAAGGAACCAATTTTACGTGAAGATAATCCTTTCACTAAATGGTCTCCTAGTTGTCATATTTTTCGCAGGAAAGACTTAATGATTGAATACTTGCATTGACGAGCTAACGTGAAAGAATCAATAAAGAATTCACGTTCTTTTATTTCTCAATTTTTGAACAATTTGAAGGCGATTCAGCTTGTTTTCATGTTCAGTAATTGAGAAAGTGACACAGAAGGTTATTAGCATTAAATGTGAGATCAATGTTCTCTTTAAACAGTTAATAAATTTTGACGTAGATTTATCATTGAGATTTATAAAAGGATAATATTCACTTCAATATCAATGACTGCGTATATTTTGCGATATCTTATTTAATATCTGTTTATGCAGTAGTAAACCATATTCCTCAGACTGGTACATTTCTGTTATTGAGGCAGGATTCAGAAATGTATGAATGTATGTGTGTGGGTATACGCACAACATGCACACATGCATTCATACATACATGCATACATTAGTAGATACATTTCTAAATCTTGTCCCGATAACAGAAAAGTAACCTCAAATTCTATACGCGGTCAAACCAGTACTGTGCAAGGCTGTAATTTATTTAAAGTCGTCTCATTCTTAGTTTAAACTAATCGCGATTGAATCATGGTTTAGTTGACCATTGTTAAGCATTTTGAGGAGTATGCTTAAGGGGAGGATGCCTATGTGGAGGTCTTTCTAAAGCCACCTCACCAGTGGCAATACCAGTGGTTAAGGGTTTAGATCACTGAATACTAGTAAGTTAACCTGGTTTTAAGCTCGATCACAAAATAACGGGTAGTCTGCATGGTTGATCTTCGTGTATTCCTCCATGAGTAACGTGAAAATGAGTTCGTTTCTCTCAGAAAGTCCTCTACCAAGGCAAGCCTTCTCTTACGCAGATAGCGCTCGAGGCTGTGCCATAATTAGATAGCCTAATCTAACCTTCTAAGCACAATTGTCTCCTTTCGGTATGTATACGGAGAAAACCAAGACCAGTAGGAAAACAAGGTTAGGACCTTCCTAACGCCGACGTCATATACTTCCCAATGCCGACGTTTCTCCCACTTCTAAGAAGAATGGGAGAAACGAAGATGCAAAGGAAATAGTTGCATTTGTGAAGCTGGAAGTCAGTGACGTTGCACAAGAAAAAAATCTTGTAACATAGAAACCTTGGGGAAAGCCACGAAATTACTTGTCCAGGTTCGCGAGGTTTTCATCCTGAGTAAAACAATTAACACGCAGCTGGTTGTTGTATTCTGCAGTATCCACTCAGACAAAGTTAGGCTTAATTTAAAGTAGAATTTTTCTTGCGTTTTATCATAGATTTATAAAATTATGCTTATAAAAACAATTTTGAATGTATCTAAAAATTACAAGTAGGGAAAAAAAGGTAACTTTACATATTTTGAACAGACAGAACGGTAAAAGAAATATTTGATAATGTCACAAAAACATAAATGAAAACATTTAGTAGTTTTCGCTTAATTCATTCAAGTCAAAATTATATCGGCCATTGTCCACTATGAGACATACGAGCTATACTGAGTCCAAAATGTTTTCAATAACTCAAATATTCGCTTCGAGTTTATTATTATTAGAAACCTCTCAATGTATCTTCTGATTCTGGAAACTCGTGTTCATGTTATCAAGTAGTTTTTGTTTAATATTTTAAAGACATTAACTGGAAAGTCATTTAACATATAATTACAGCAGTAATTTTATTATTACGCTTAAAATATGCCCACCGAAAATTTAAAGTATTAACAAATGACCAAATTTAACTCTCCTATCCCTTTCTTTGTTATTTTACGTAAATATTTAACAGAGGATGTGATAAATGGTTAAACCCAACAGGAGAAAAGCATCTGTTTTGTAACTTATAGTTAAACTGGTTTTTAATCTACAGCGTAGCTGATCTATTTTTCAGTATTTTATCGCACAAAGCACTTTAAATTAGCGTTACACTTATACTTCATTTTCTCCCATTTTAGCCTCCAAAATATTTCTCAAAATTCCTTCATTCCAAATCAGGTAATTATTATTTATTTCAATTCTACTATTAGGCTTCATATTTTAATTACAATCCGAAATTTAACAGTAATTTTTCAGCATTATACTATGTATTTACTTTATCTACAAATAAGGAAGTTCACATATGGAAATATAATGTTAGTGATGGATGCAAACTAAACAATCCCATAAACTTTATAAATCTCTGTCTGCAATTTCCTAATCACTAAACGTACTGGTTCATTCTTTGTTTTCCTTTTACCCACCTCGCTCAATAGATAGTTCTGAATGTCCAATGACGTAATTACCGCTGTTTTTGCATTGTATGGAGCATAAAACGCGAAAGCGCATGCATACATAGTTTCCACAAGGGAGTTCTTTGTCTTTCGAAACGTATAGAGACGTTTTCTTTGATTCAACGGAGCAAATAACGTTTGAATATTCCGAATTATGACTTGCAAAGCTTTGCTCTCAGAATTAAAATTCTAATGGAATTTTATGCGCCATGCTATATTTCAGCTTAAAATAACTATTTGACCTAAAAATCCTTTAATTTTCCTAACCCCAAATCTTATGTTACCTATTTAGTTTAAGCAAGAAAATAAATTTCAGAAATAATGAAATAATCCAATTTTTTTTAATAATTAATTCGTAATAGGAAAATTTCTTGATATTAATACTTACGAGTAATTCATTAAAGAAAATAAGAATTTGCTTTTCTTTAAATTATATATTCAGTAATATTTTTAACTTAGGATACCTTGTACAGTCATTAGGACTTTTTACTAATAGGAAACCTGAAAATTAGCAATGCCCTCACCGAGACTCGAACCTCTCGAATACGCGCCGAATGTGCTGACCACTACACTACGAAAGCATGCGAAGAAGGCGGGAGAAATACCTTATATTCTTCCCGTATTAAAGGGCGACTGGGTGCTAGGGAACTCAGTCACCAAATCCTAGTAGTGTAGAATCACCCACCACCTTTTTTTAGTTCAGACGCCATTGTACAGTCATTAGGAATTTTTACTAACAGGAAACATGAAAAATGAGCAATGCCTTCGCTGGGACTCGAACCTTGGACCTCTCGAATACGCGCCGAGTGTGCTGACCTCTACACTACGAAGGCATGCTAAGAAGGCGGGAAAAATACTTTATAACCTAAGCTCACTTTGTGAATAATTAAACTCACTAAGCCTCAAAGCTTTGGCCTTGAAGCACTGAAATTTTCTCAAAATAGCATTAATAATTGATATTTTCTTGATTATAATTCCAAAATAACCCTCTCAGTTTCTTCCTTGACTCCTTTTCTTCTAATATATATCCAACCCGAAATCGGATCCTTCAAGAGCTGGCAGAAGTTTTCTTGTTAATGGAATTGGAAAGCCATCCTTCTTTGCAGAATTTTACACCTCTGGAAAATTCATTTTCTTAAAATATCTAAGTTTCTGTTTCCAGTTTGACTTTACATTACTGGAAGTCACTACATATTTTTACTGTTTATTGTAAATTAATATTCACTCTTGGATATTTAAACTAAAACTAATTATAAGATTATTTAAAATTTGCTCTGTTTGAATTGAGAATTATTGAGTTAATAATAACTAAAATATTGACATAGTTTTTTTCATATTATGCAGTATATCAAAGAATCGGAATTCATCATGTCAGATAGCCCAGAGAAAAATTACGAAAAAAATCCCTTTGCAATACCAGAACCTTATTACTTACCAGGGTAAGCAATTTTGTACCACAATATGTAAACAGTTAAAAGATATAGAGTTATTGAGAATGATTAAAAAATATCAAATGACCACAGTTCTGTTTAAGAATCGTGTATCAATTTGGTATATATTCGATGAAATCTAAACTTTTGAGTTTGAAATTATTAATGTGCAGAATGTTAAGTTTTCTTAACGTACTTCTTTCTCAGCATTGGATCAAATGCAAAATAGCCAAGTGGCATGATATTAGCAGAACAGTTTCATAGTTTACCGCGATCTTTAACCTTGTGATTTCGTCCACTGAAAGCATGTTGAAAACGTTCCCGTGCACTAAAGTTATAAGATCTCCAAAACGCTTCCGTACTACTATAAAGATTATAAAATAGGCATGCTGGAGCAAATAGAGTAAAAATAGGATTAGCGTTTTTACAGTGCTGGGATAAATAAAGGAAATCTATCATTATAGGTGCCGAAAATGACGTATAATATGTGATATAATTAAAGAAATACACATACTATTAGTATATAAAACTCAAACAAACATTATTTTCTTCTTGCTTTCTTATCACGGTCTATAAATTATGAAAATGAAAACATTTGAATGCCAAGTAGTTTAAATATATGCTGCCCTTAGAAAATTTTAAAAAAAAATCTGATGTAGAAGGCATATCACTTTCTTGTACGGCCTATTAAATTATACTCTTTTTTTGCTGCATTTCATTTAAATTTATTTCCTCGAATTGTAGAAACATTATGCTTTTTTGAAGCAGGAAACATAGAAAAAGAGCAGTGCCCTCGCCGGGACTTGAACCTTGGACCTCGGACCTCTCGAATACGCACCGAGCGTGCTGGCCACTTCACCACTTCAAAGCATGCTAAGAAGGCGGGAGAAATACCTTATATACATCCCCTTTTAAAGTGCGACTGGGGATTAGGGAACCCTAGTCGCCAAATGCTGTTGGTGGAGAATCATCACCCACCAGATTTTTGAGTTTGGGGTCCAATGTAGAGAAATTAGATTTTTTGAAGCGGGAGATGGGAAAAATGAGCAATGCCCTGGGCGGGATTCGAACCATGGACCTCTCGAATACGCGCTGAGTTTGATGACCACTACACCACGAAGGCATGCTAAGAAGAAGTACCTTATAGAATTTCATTAGATATATATTTCTCAATTAATTCAGTTCTCAATTCGTGGCAAGGCAAAAATATATAAATACTCAAAACATCTTCATTAAAAGTTGTAAAATACAGAAAAACATAAAACACCAGATAAAGTCAAAAACAGTTAAAAAACATTTTTCCAGCTTGCATTCGTCATCGTCTTACGAGCACAGTACTGGTATGCTGTTAGCGGCACTGGGTGCGCATCCAAGTCCCTCTTGTTCCGTATAGCCGTTGAAGTGGACAGCCACCGTTATATGTTTGACGTATAAAAAGCCTGTGGCTGTTTCGTCTCTTCAAGTCTTGCGTGACACCATCTTTGAACAAGATTAGGTGCGACTGGAAATTGCCTGTACTGTTTTGACCGTCCTAGATACGGAAGTAGTTCGACTGTGCCCCATTGAAAGATCTGGCCATAGGTTGTCGAGAGACTGCCACGTCACTCCTCGCTACAATTGATAAACTCCGGCCCAAACTTGAAGCGGCATAGAATGACGTCCTAGTATCTATCATTCAACTGGATGTCTAATCTAATTACAGCCATTGGTTCTCCAAGAGGTAGCAGCTCTGTGTACTGATTACTGAGCGATGTCTAGCCCAACCACTTGCAAATTTCATTATGTGTTGTTTCCATTATGTTATTTATTATGTACAATAAGTAAAATACTATTATTTGCTTTTCACCATAGTGCAGAAATTTTATTGGGCAGCAGGGTTGAGTTTCATGAAATTAAGATTTCAGTCAGAAGTGCTGAGCCTTTAGATACTGATGACATTTTATACATCTGAAAGTTAAAAGTTCATTAATAACGAAGTTGTAATATTTTTATTGATTCTTTGTCGATCATTTCAGTTATACCGGTCACTGTCCAAGCTATCAAGATGTCATAGGTCAGACTTACGGCAGAGCTACCCATAGTGTATTAGAGAACCTTCCATCACCGCCTGCCCGTCTGAAGCCTCTAACCTCGATACTGCAGAATGCAGCTGAAGATGAAGATCTCGAATTAATATCTGAGAGAAAGCAAGATCGCAAAACAATTTTATCTACAGATATAGCTCCGGGTTACAAAGGTATGTTTTAGTTATCCATTTTATCGCTTAACTGCTCGTAGACTGTGGAACTGTTTATCATTTCTTTAGAGAAATTAAAATGGGAAACATCGACTCATAACTTGGTATGCTGGAGCGGCTAAAAACATTGAATGATATTTTTGTAAAATTTTGTAACTCACTGAAAACTACTTTTAAGAGAAAAGTGCCACCACATGGGAGACTACTGCGGTACCGAAGGGCTCGGATTCGGATTCCAGAGAAAGTGTGGATGTTTTTAAATGTATCGTATCTTTGCGGCAATGAGACACTCTAAATATATGGCAAGACGAAAGTCGTGTCGTGGAGTTTAGTGATAACGAAAAGGTTGAAAGACCTCCGAACCACTCCCCAGGGAGCTGTCTCTAAAAGCTGGGGTGGAAGTATAAGCCCAACCTTCTTGAGGCTTTGGCAATCATTCTCCCATGAAATTACGTGGACATGATAATAACAACAGAAGAAATATTAAAGTTATTTTTATTAATAGTTTTCACGAACATTACAGCACTACCGCAAGTGTTAAGTCAAGAAAATTACTCGAAATAAGCGCACTGAAAAACTAATGTGACCAACTAATCGATAATTGTGAAATATTTTTGCATGCAAGCAAAATTACATAGTAACAGCTATTTAAAATAATATGTTTAACATGCCTTATTTTTTTAAAGCAAGAAAAGAGAAAAATATGCAATGCCTTCGCCGGGTTTAGAACCTGGACCTCTCGAATACGTGCCGAGTATACTACCGTTACACCACGAAGGTATTCTGAAAGGAGGGAGAAAATACCTCATAAACTTTAAAAAATATATATTGAATATATGTGTTAGGCACACGTATATTAACAGCAATTTTGCCCTTTGGATAAAATAAGGAAAGTTTAAGTGGTTGAAAAATTTGCAGTTCAGACATCGACATAATCCTTTTCTTAATTTTCTAGCTACGCGAAACCAATTTGACTACAGTCATAAAGCAAACATAAATCCCAGCTATGATATATTCATATAACTATTCTGGTCGTAGGGCAGAACATATGTTCCATTTCCAAGTATTCGAAATATAACTGTCTTTGTCATAGAGTTGAGAACTTAATGAAATAGCATTAATTACAAATTTTACAGTTTATCATAAAGTAATTTAAATAATTTTTAAGAACTTAAAAATAATTTTAGAAAATTATTCGCTAATAGGTCTCTGTCTCGTCTCATTTTTTTGTTACGTAGGCTTCAGGCTTAATTCTAACTGCTACTGAATTCCTTGACAGGAGAAGTCAAGTAATTGGGAAAATGAAAGTTTATGTTGCAGGCTCTGATAAAATTTAAACAATTAGATCACGAAAAAAGAATCCTTTCGCATTCTGTACCTGTTGTAGAGAGGAAAAGTGCTTTCTGTAGCCTTAATCAGCAAAGTTTGCCGTGCATTATCAAATGGATTAAATGATTTAAAATATAAGTCAAGAGAAATACGTGAGCGTATGAATCCGTTGTTACGAAAATGCAAAGATCTGTGCTGCATACTCGTTACGATGTGCATAATGTAAAGGGATATCGAATTTATTACTCCAAAAATGATTCAACATAAACTATTGGAGATTGTTCCGGGCTGATATTTAGCTAGTTTCCTAGAATATCGGTTTCCTATTGTTATGATGTATAATCATCCTGGCGAGTTTTTCTGCCTATGAAGTGTTATAAAAAGTCTGTTTTGAGCTGATATTTAACTAGTTTCGTAGAATATCGGCTTCCGACTGGTATGATGTACAATGATCCCGGCGAGTTTTCCTGTCTATGAAGTATCTCCAATCTCGGTTAAGAGTTTGCGACTGTGCTTGTTTGTCAAAGTATTCTTTTGGAAGTATGATTAAAATTACTGTGATTATCAATATTAAGCAGCATATTCCCCCCATACAATGTTTTCTTCTAAAATGCTAAAAATAGAATTAATAACAAATTTTATACGTGCAATCTATACGTCAGATCAAAATTTCAATACTTTTATTTCTCGCTTGACACGCATGATCCCAGATTATGATATTATGAAACTAAACAGCGGAATTTTATGGCTTTATTTACTGAAGATGAACAGATGGTAACACGAAAAAAAGAAGCATGTAGAAATAAGATTTTAGTCAACATTTAAAAACTTATGCTCACTGGATTATCCAAGTTCTTAATTTTCAATTCGGCACTAATTAAAATATCTCTATGCTAAGAAACACTTTTCTTGTTTTGCCCAAAACTTTATATGTAATGTTTCACCCACAGCTGCCATTACATAACATACATTAGACATCGAAATATTTTATCTGAGTTGTTCATTGCTTATTTCTACACCTAGAGGAACTTATATCCGACAGACAAGCCATTGATTACACCATCTGACATCATGTTTAAGAGTCACTCACGCAGTGATGCCATGATATTTTTTATTCTTATTTATTGAATACAAAACACCCATAATAAATATAAGAAAAGTTCTCATTTAGTGCATATTAGTTTTTATTTTAACGGTATTTTTTAATTAGAAATAAGTACCCAATTTTAAACGACTCAAAGAAGTCTACGGCATTAGATAGTAATGAATATTCCATTTCTGCAAATTTACATTTATTTTATCAATATTTATTTACAAGTGTATATAATCGTATTGAGCCTATAATTCACCAAAGAATCTTTGATTTTGTAAAATTAATAGCTTTTATATAAGGAACTTTAATTCTGTTTAAACCAAACTGATATATTAAAAAGGCATCTAAATGCTACCCAAATGCTGATGAATCGATTGGTGCTTTACTAGTTATTTCTTTAAAGATAAGCGTTTGTTCAGATATTGATTCAAAACTTCTGATTACAGGTAATCAAAATATTTTTGTTTGAAATGTCAAGTCTTTCTGCGCTGCGTTATTTCTTCTAATCTACAAGCCCAACAACCTGTTACAGGTCTTGGTTGCCTCAACCACGCGCTCTTTCCAGCGTCTTCTATCTGCAACAACTCTTCTCCAGGTTTATTGCAAAGTTAATAAGTCTTTTTTAATGTCATTTAATCACCTAGTCGGTGGTCTTTCTTCAGCTCTGGATTCTGCGCTGTTTAGACTGACAAAAATGGCTTTTTAACGAATTTAATATCTCACTTCTTTGATTTAGAGAAATTACATGGAAATTATTTAGCAATTTTAAAATTTTGATATGTAACTAACAGTGAGCGTTGCTCCAGGAATAGAGCATATCATCTAGAACTATGTATCTATGTCTCGTTATTAGACTGAAGTTGTACAAAGTTTGACCAGAGAAAACAGAACGCGTTGATAACCAAGTCGTTGATAAGAAGTCTCATAGAGCATTATGGGGAACAGAAAATACAACCTTCCACGGGTATGATATCATATTTCAAAATATCAATGGTTAGTATGGTCTCTTTCTTTGAGCTCCAATATACACTCAGAAAGGTTGTTGGGCCCCCATTCTTTTTACAAGGCAGTCTGAATTTTGTACCCATTCTGGGATGGTGAGAGAACCTATACATACTCGAATTGAATGAAATCTGAATATTTAGGCTATAGCAGGGGAATGGTATTCTAAATCTCCAGTGTGTCAGTTATGCCATCTATCCTTTGTAGGTAAGTAGTGCCTTCTAAGTACAGATGGCTGTGACCCATTGCTGCATTACGAGAACACGAATCAGATATATCTTTGTAAAATAAAGTTCTGCCAGACGGACCCCCGATGCAGAGATATATAGCTATTATTTGGCGTCATGGACGATTCGTGACCTTCTCATTACACCACGACTATAATAATGTCGCGTTATTTTCTTTACGTTACGTACGTTACGGGTTTCGTGTGAATTTGGAGTGAATAATGACGACAGCACTTGATGGAATATCGATACACACTTTATTTTAGCCAATATTAATCAGGACAGCTCCAAAAACACGTTTACAGTCATCGAAGAACTAGCATAAACACGCTGACACAATCAGCGACACAGCCTCCAGGTTATCAGGTTATCACGGTGAAGAATGCTTTACTGCAAAGCACTGGAGTACACCTCCCGACTCTACTCGGTCGTTCTCGGAACTCCACGTACTCTCGAGACTCTCCACGCTACAACTCGCGATGCACTCGACGATATACTAGAGTACAGATCCCGACTCCTCGGTTCAGTCGTTCCCGGAGCTCAGCACACTCTCTCGACGATGCACTAACCACGATACACTAAGAGACTCTTTCGATGCACTCGACGACCCATTCGGCACTTGTTGACTGACTGACAACTCGATCGACTCCGACTAAATAACTCGATACTAACTATATCTCGCACTCACTCTCCGCGTACCAGCAGGGTTTATATAGTTTTTGGCTTGTGTTTGATAACATTCTGGACTAAACCGGTAAGAATTCGTTCCAGAAGGTTCTCTATCCATCCATGACATATCGCCAATTTCGTCGCGAAATAGATTTCTCGCCAAATGTGGCAAATTTGCCTTCCCTTGCCATTCAATGGCAACCCTAAACCTGCTTTGCGAGGAAGCCATCTTACCGCGCCTGGACATTTCGTAACAATAATCAACATCTGCTAGTAGCGTTGTTGATGAAAAATTTACCTTTCTTCTCCACATCATTTGATATCCAGTATCACTCTTAACAGTGATACAGAATTCATTGAAAAACAGCAACATCCATGATTTCCGTTGACCTTAATGACATTACTGCATTCTTTCTTTAGGATGGCCCAATGCTATGTGGATGCCTATAGCATTTTAACGTCTGCAACAAATTGTAAAATCTAACGTTGCTGTTTTGTTTTCCTTTAAAGCGAAAACTCATCATTTCTTGCATTATTTTTCTTCTTCGAGCATGTAGAGCATTTACTCAGCAACTGTACCCCATTGTAGAGCATCTACTATAAATTTGGCAGCGTTATGCATCTACGAGGTGACAATCCTTGAGACGTCGCTGCTTGAACAGAAATGTACATTCAGATTATGTTATGTCAGCAGTTCTGTAATTAATATTTACTGTAAACGGCACTGTTTCTCTAAACAATATGTGATATAATTTCCATAAAATGATTTTAATGATTGCCATTTTAAAATTCTTATTTGTATATGGGATGGATATTATTTGGAATTAAGATGAGTTCATAATGAATTTCCTTTTATGAAAATGACAAAATCTGCATTTTCAGGCTCAAATTAAGATCAGTTATTCTTTAACAATCAATTGTCAAGCAGTAAAAATCAATCATTAGTTTCCGACCCACCAGTGTCCGAGCAGTAAAGTCGCTGAATAGTAGTTCAGTCCGAGGTTCAAATCCCAGCGAACAGGCTGGCTGCATAAGTCTTTTCGTGGTTTTCACTATGTGTAACGTGTATACGAGCCAGGTTTCCTTTAAAAAAGTCCTCCACGAAAACCATTCCTACCCTTTTGGCAAGTAAGTGCCCTCAAGTGTTTTGCCTTAATAAACCTAAAACATTAATTTCAGTAAAAGTTCAGGAATTATAATGAAATACTGGGTGATTTATATTAAGAGTACTCCGTAATTCATTTCGTTTCATACAAATGATAACATTTACGTACCAGAACTTTGCTCATTGCTTTTCTAAGGAGCAGGTCAAAAACCAGTTGTTTTTTAAGAATTTCCAAACACTAATTTAAGTAAGAGATTTGCATTTGTAATGAAATACTGTATATACTGTGTGCTCATTAATGAATAATCAATCCACTTTAAATCTGAATAACTGGAGCTGAGTTTTTTTAGGAAATTTCAATGCCTGAGAAGAGATCAACAGGAAATTTTCTCGCTTTTTGAAGAACAAGCTATCATATGAATGCAATAGCATTTAATTACGACATTTTCACTAAAATATAATATTTCCGCTGTGAATGTCAAGAACAAATACTGCATTAGTAGTCGAGAAAGTAAGAGAACTGGTTTCGAATATTCGTTCTCTTTAAAACAGTTTAATTCTAGTATTTCTAAAGAAAAGATTTAACTCATAATCCATTGAAGGATTCTTTCGATTCATAATTTCATTTCCCAAAAGAAAATACTTTTGTTTTATTCTATGTCATCAATGAATTTTATACAAATATAAGGTATGATTAAACCATTAATATGTATCAGAGCTTTCGCTTTGCTTGATTTGAAGCTCCATAATTTCTTCTTGCTGGAATTTATTATATATAAAATTACAAGGATTTATTACAAAGAAGTCCTTCCAACTATTCAACACTTCAAAAGTATGTTCGAGTGGGGATCACAAGCAACTGAAATTAAAATATTTGCGTTGTAGATGTGATAGTTAGGGTCTGTAGTTAGACAGCACTCTGAGAGTCTTACTATTTAATTTCTTTTCGTGTATGTTTTCTCGTAAAAAGAAAACTGAATTCGGTTACCTTATGTACAGTTGCTGAGTTATTAGCTATTAAAGTTTTCAAACCATTAGGAGTTGTTCAGCTTCATATGGGATTTAATACTACATTGCTAGATAAAGTACGCTATCTCTCTTATTTATAAACATATTCTTCCAATAATAAATGACTTGCATGATTCTAAAATACTAAATATTTTAAATAAGTTTGAAAGTGTTGTAGGTAAACTTTTTTTTATTTTCAGGCCACATCCCGCGGGCTTCTTATCTGATAGGAATGAACTTCAATCAAAGCTGCATCCGAGGTCTTGCTGAGTTCGAAAAAAAGCAGAAAAGACTACAGGAGCTTTTGTCGCAATCTCTTCCGAGAAATAATGGATAAGAGAATTTCGGAAAATAAATATTACTCTTAATTTAATTACATGAAATACTAATTTAGCTTCCATTAAACTTGATTTGATTAATAATTCGAAGAAGTACTGTTTTAAGCTTCATGTTCCTTTCATCGATAGCACTGTCGTATATTCGAAAAAACATCAGGCACCATTAAATTAAAATCGTAAAAAACAACCTTATATTTAGCATAGGTATAATGAAACACTCAATCGATTTCGAGGGCAGCTAAAGGTCCCTCCTCATCAGGAGAAAGAAATACAGCTGCCCTCGAAATCGATTGAGTGTTTCATTATACCTACGCTAAATATAAGGTTGTTTTTTACGATTTTGATTGTCACATTAGCGTGTTTCTCTTCTAGTCTACCATTAAATTAATTAATGTCCGAGTGTTTTTACAGTAATTCACTGCATGAAAGCCAGTTTATGCAGTGAATAAAATCTAATCAAGTAATTTTGAAATCAAAGTAATTAAAGATTACTTTCTTCCCACTATTCTACAGTATTTACTGAAATACACATGTCACTGCAAAAGTGAAATTTGTAATTCTCATTTTGAAATCTTAACATTTGACATCAATTCAGAATTAACCAATCATAGCATTAGTTTATACCTAGAGATGTGATAAAATAGCTTAAGCTAAGGAAATATGTAGTAGATTTCCATAAATTCTGGAAACATATTTGTAAGTTTTTTTCATTAACGATCTTTTATGAAACTACAGCTTTTATTTAATAAATTTACCTCGTTATTTTGTTCCTTAGCATGTTTAACACTCCGAGCATTATAGGCTTAGCCCTGAAATTTCAAAGTTCCTCAAAGTGTCATGAAAATGGTATTTTTTCTGATTACGATTAAATAACGACTCCCTTACTTTTGACCTTGATTCCTTTTCTTCCAATATACATCCCGAAATTGGGTATTTTAAAGAACTGTCAGAAACTTTTATGTGTAATGAATACGAAAGCCACCCATCTATCTATACGGAACACCTGAGAGGCTTAAAAGGCTTTGTTGTGATAATCTTGTAGATACATTACCAGACAAAATATTATCCTCTCAAAGAATGGTTGAAGTTTCATGAGAAAATTCTATTATGTGGTAAAAATTCGAGAAAAAAATCAAATTCAAAATAAGATAAAAGATACATTTAGTTTCATTCAACAAGAACGGTTCCATCAATCTGAGTTAGTTGTAATTGAAAGCTTAAATGAATTATGCTTGCTTTGTGCGATATTATTAAGCAGCATATCATATTGTATTTGTGAGGGTAATACATCCTTGAAGGATCGCCTGTAGACACTCTTTGAGTTTTCTCACGACATATTTAGTCAAACTAAAATTCTGAAATACAACTAATTTATTTTAGAAGTCTAAAAATTAATAGCAGTAAAAACGGAAGCGATTGCAAGCATTAAAAGAAAAATATTAAAATGATGTGTAACAAAAAATAATATGCGGTCACCTTTTTGTGTAAAGTAGGAAAATGGTAAGAAATGTGGAAAGTGAGTTATGATAATTAAAATTAATTCAATTATACTTTCTGTAAATAATGTTCTAGATTTTACGTCAAGTAACTTACGACTTAGATTATTAACTACGCAAAGTGACTATTGTTAAAAACACCTCAAAATGTAAAGTGTTATAACAAAATATATAACATAAGGCAGAAAAGAACGTTAAATTTACATTGGGGGTAATGTAAAATCATGTCTATTTGTATGTCTCCTGACACACATTCCACTTGTTCAGGCAGCACAAGCACTGAACAACTCCTTGAAAAACACTTCACTGAACACTTCCCTCCTTCACTGAACTGAAGCTCCTTGAAAAGAATCTGTATCACACGCTTCCAGAATCGTCTGCAACACTGATGGAAAGGGACATGTGTCATTCCTTTTAAAATATTGTGCTGTAATAAAAAGGAGTAAATTTTCATTAATTCCTGGAATATTAACTCCTAATCCAAAAGATCTTTAATACATTCTTAGTTTAAACTCCTTTGAAATGAAACTTGTAATTAAAGTTACAATTCACAGTTTGCATATAGGGATGATATTGCAATTTCATTAAAAAGATCTCATGTGTACACCACATGACATTTTTGTACGGAATATTAAATTATACTCATTTTTCTTATATATCATTTAAACTTATTTCCTCGAATTTCATTAAAGATATATTTCTCATCCAATTAATTCAGTTCTGACTTCGCGGCAATGCAAAGACACTTAAAAACTCAAAATATCTTCATTAAAAATTGAAAGATATGGAAAAATAAAAACTCCAAATACAATTAAAACAATTAAAAACATTTTTTTACAGTTACAATTACAGTTTCTACGCAAAAACAAGCAACTCGGGCAGCATGCAAGAAGGCAGATTTGTTAGTGCACAAAACTAAAAGTTTCCTTTTGGCCCCACTCGGCAAAAAAAGACACTGAAGGTGGAGAAAGACTTAATTCACTATTCTTCTAAGTTTCAAATGTACACAAATATGACTGCCACGGAAATAAAAAATTAGGCTTAGTTGCACCTTAAACAACTTATATTGTTGATAATTCTACAACCATTGCATACAGATCAAGTAAAGGCGTAAAAACCTTAACTGGAAGATAAGAATAACATAATTAAAATATTTTTAAAACATAAAATGCACAATTTATCAACATATAAAAATAAAAATAACTGAGCTTACTGAGCCGAGTAACAGAGTGGGTACATATATATATTTGTTAAAGCATAAGAGGCATAGAACATACTAGTTTATAATTCTATTAAAAAGCTGACAAAAAATTTAATGGTTTTAAATTGAATTTCTGTTCCTTGGGGATGGAAAATTTTCTCATTATAGATTATTATGAATTATTGGTATATATATAATATATATATATATATATAACTTTTGGTGGTGGGACTGATTGCAACCAAAATGGGAGGTACACAACCATATGTTATAGAAGTCCAAAAAAGAAATTTTCAACTTTCTGAGGCTACTCATTTTTAAATTATGCGAGATACATACGTACATAGGTAGCGCCTACAAACTTACGTACAGACGCCACGGGGAAAAATCTCTTTTGAATCCATTTTAAATAAATTTTATAATTCGTTTGGGGAAAAAGAGTCCTTTATTCTGTCCTTACGTACAGATGTCACGCAAAAACACCGTTAAATTCCATTTGATAGTGGTGTCAAAATGAATATTGTTTTGAAATACGAAACCTTGAATTTTTCGTGCAAGGAAGTAAAAAGGAAAATTTCTAGGCGTATGCTTAGCTCAATGATAATAAAAATAATCTATATAGAGAGAAGTTTCCAGATTGCATATCCTTTCTAGAAAACAATATTTACAAACAGCTTTATTTGTAGAATATCTAGACTGCTTTATTCTAATGCTTGTTAATAGTTAATTATTGTCGTAATGCAAATCTAAATACGAGCAGTTAAGAGTACTGGCGCAACTCTACACTGAATAGTTTTCAGAATGAAAAATATTCATTAAAAATGCAATAAAATGTAATATGGAAACAAAAACACTTTTATTTGATTTTACATTTTATAGTAGTAACTCACTCTATTAACCTTCGTTGAAAAAATACATGTGGTTTAAAGAGGCGACACATTAAATACCTTGCTAATAAAAATGCATGAACTATTTTAGATCCCGCACTGATCATGCTGACAAAATTTGCAATATATAATTCGGCTCCGAAGCAGGATTTTGCGCACCCTAGGCAATCGGTATAACTTTTATTGTAATTCTCCATTCAGTTCTATTTCTTTAGCAACAGATTTGGTAAATCGTTTTGCTATTATTTTTATTTTTCTCAAACTCTGACAATTGTTTTAAGATTTATCAGTCAAGTAATTTTTAATATACATAATATTTTACTTCTTCTGACTTCTATCACAACAATTTGCTTAGCCTAGAAATTTATACAAACAAAAGTCACCTGCAGGCTGGAAGGATATTCGTAACTTCAAATGATGCTGCTGTTTGAATTTCAAACTTGTCACCTTTAGCTAAAGCGTTCATTATGAAAGCGAGGAGAATCATGAGTTGCTATTTATTCCCAGAATTTCAGATCTATTTTAGGGAGAATCGAAATAAACAACTTGATCTACTCGTGACGATCAGAATTTGACTTTTATGTACTCTAGCTTATTGTGATACAGTATCGCAAGGAACTCAACTTTTATTTTGTATAATACCTATGGCTTGAATCATAAGCTGCAGAAATGATAAACTTTCCGTTGCGTCATATTTAGATGGGGAGTGAAATTCTGTTTCAATGCATGCATAATATCTCACTTTGATCTTTAGTTATGCAATAGCGGTCGTTAGGTCACGTTCTAGAGAAAACAAAGCATTTTAAATAAGAATTCCAGTAGTGTATCAAGAAATAAAAATAAAATAATAAATAATTATCTATATAAAGGAGAATAAAACTATCTCCAAATACTCAATATAAAACCTTTAATTTATTTTCCAGATTTAAACAAATTTAATTGCTTATTAGGAGAAGCAAAGCGTGTGTTCATTTAAAAATAATTTATACTTCTCAGTAATATTTTGCTTCACACTTTATCATGCTTGTAGAATTAACATAATTAAATAAATACATTTTGGAGTTAAATAATACTGAGTCAGACTAGTTTTCTCTAAATCTGTAACTTGCACATTATGCTCATCATTGGAATAAAAAAATTCTTAATGTCAATATTAAATTTCTGAAAGCATGCATGAAATTAAATTTCTGAAAGCATTTCTGAAAGCTAATCATGTATTTATAGTCATCTGTATGCATCTTTATTAATTTTACATAATTTTAAGTGGCAAAGACTATATTTTATTAAAAATTAGCTTCGTTTACTACTTTTACTAGAGGGCTATGAACAAAGCAATATTTATAAGTTCTGTGTACTGAAAAACTGAAAATAAAATGAACTCTTAATTTAATGTACTGGGTACTATTCCGTTAGTTACCTAATGATGAAGAGGCTGCCATAAAGATTCCTTCAGGACAAGGGACTAATTCATAGCAATTGTTCTGAAAAG